TGCATGTTACCATGCTGTGTTCACTTCTAAGTCAAATATACTGTTATTCTAATTATTCCTCAGATATTCTAGGATTCTCTTCTGGGTCAGTTCCAGACTGAAGATATTCCCCTTAGGCCAGGACCCTCCAAAATGCTCTAGGCAAAGTCTAGCAGTGCAAAAGGCATTCCATCTTTTGTCTGCTTAAAGTTGAATACTGTATCATCCAGTTTAGTACACTGATCACTACATCATAATGAGCACCTCACAGACTGCCTGGGTTCGAAACTGGTTCCTCCACTTTATAACTGGCAAGCCTCAGGCAACCTACTTAATTGTTCCTTGCTTAGGTTTTTTTTCTTTTGTAGAACAGGGGCAATAATTGTACCTACCTCAGGAGGTTGGCACAAGAATTAAGTGGGTTGATAATGTAAACTATATGCAAAGTACTTAGAGGAATTTCTGGTGCATAGTAAGTATTCTGGAAGTATTAATAATTAACATTGTTTTAGCTATTATTATTATTATTATCACTGTGACCTATAAGTATGCACGAGTGTGTTCTTTCTGGTCTTTAGTAAAAATACCACACCATGGCAGTGGCCAAATGCTGCCAGCCCCTTGGCTCTAGACTGTCACTGATTGTATAGCCAGTATACAACTGTCCCGGCCTATTATTACGAAGCCCGTGCTCACCATCTTATCCTGGGGATGTTAATCATGGACCAGCACAGTGCTAGGAATGGAGGACAAGAATATAAATAAGACATGGTTTTTGCCCTCATCAGGGTCGGAATTTAACCAAGAGACAAATGACAAAATAGAAGAAAAATCCTTGGGAGACAGATTTGCACAAAAACCACCCAAGGATATCCAGAGTGAGGTCTAGTGTCCTATTTAGTTTCTCTAAATAGCCGAACTTGGAAGGAAACCAGAGATACACATTTTGACCACATTTATAAGGTTGTCATTATTTCCAAAGAACTTCATCTTTCATGTCCTCACAGTCTATCATGGATCTTGATTTTCACCTACCATTTTTCCCAGAGGTATTTGTTGATTTTACTAATTCGGTGTTATTTTATTTGCAAGCAAGATTACTTCCTCAAAAGTCCCCGGCATTCTAGTCTCAGCTCCCAGGAGTCTTTAAAATCCATTGGGGGAGGGGGGCTATCTTTGATCTTATTATTTAACCATGAGTATAACAACCTTAAAATTATAGTCAACCTTGAAAAGTGTTTACAGAATCAATTCAGATGTCCGTGCACATCCCATTACTGAGTGTCTCCGGGCTGGTAGGGAGGGTACAATCCCGGCCACAGACTAGCCCTCTGCTCTGCACATTCCCTCAGACTGGGGACTCTATTTTCTTTTACATGCCATTAACAGAGTCTTTTTGATTTTTATTGGTCACGAAGGTTATATTTGCCTTCCCAGTGATCTCATTCTTGTCCAGTGGTGCCACAGTAAATGAGAAAAGGCATCACAAAGGTGAACTCACTCAGCCCACAAGCACACACTTGACCTACATAAAAATGTGCTAGGGTCCTGTTTTCTCCATTTTACACCTTTTCAGGAGGAAATGCCACCTTTTGTGTTGTTTGGTTTATCAAATTATCAACCGAAAACTTCCCTTCTGTTAGTTCAGATAACCAAGAAATTGATTATATTAAGTTGCTTAATGTGGTCAGCCCATCGTAGACAGGTAAATTGATAAAAAGTTATCCTGCCAGCATCTGCCTCTTAAGCTGTTGAAGAAACTTAGAAATGCACTAAAGTAAGTGTTGGGAACAAGGCCAGATCTCATCCTGTTGTTAAATTTCCGAACTTGTGTCTCTCTAATGTCCCTATTATTTTTGTCACTCAAGGATCACATCATTTGAAAGTCTCTCTACCAATCTGTTTACAAAAGGAAGTTGTGTTTCCTCATTTCTAATTAGACACATATTGTCCATCAGAGGTCTGAGCTACACGATAAAGTTAATATTACCAAACATAATACAATTCCATAGGAAACATAAAAAATTAGATATATTGTAGAACCTGATTACAAGTTCTGCTGAGAATGCTTGTAGGGCCGTGGAGCTATCTTTAGGGGACCCTGGCTGTGAGCCACAGCAGGAAAATGTTCAGGGTCCCACTCCTGCAAAACCTTCCCAAGTTGCACATTTTATCTGTTCCCTTGCAAGTGAAATAAGTCCATTTTCTTGAGCATGGAGGCTCTGCCTAGAAAATGCCATTTTCATAAAGAGCTGTCATGCTTCGGGTCCTTTGGCTTATGATTTAGCTATGCAAGGGAAGTGCAGGCCACTCCTGCTCCTCAGTGCTGCGTGTGTTTTTGTTTTATTAAATCCTTAAAATACTGGGCTTGTTTTTTATGACCCCCGTATATTCTTTTGTTCTTCTCCATGACGTGTTAGATCCCATTTTTTCTCTCCCTTTGTAAAAATATTAGTGCCTTTCTAAAGAACATCGTGATCTCGAAAAATGGCTGTCAAATCACACGGAGGAATGTGTTGAGCTTAATGTCAGGTCTGTCGAGACTGTAACTAAGGGGCGTTTGGCTGATGGGAAGGCTGGAGGCATCTCAGACATGGTCCACAGAGTCACAAATCTTCCTGCTCTTGCCAGACTTGTTTTGACAAATCTGAAATCACTTGGTCCTAATCACAGAACTCTCTGTAAAATGAAAGTACCAAATGGTATATGTTCCAGTTACAGACAATTGTGATGAAAAGTTACTAAGAGAGGCCGATTGGTGACTCAGCAGTAAAATGTGACTCTATGCAAGGCTGATTCACAAGTGAAAGTTCCAAGTTTACATCCAGAAACGTCCTTGTATATATCAGGCACAGGCATGCCCGTGATCAGGAACTGGATAGAGCTGCAGGTGGATTGCAGCATGGAGACCCTGTCAAGATGTGGGGTCTTTTCTCTCTCTCTCTTTCTCTCTGTCTGTCTAAATTATGGGAAAAATAAATAAACTTTTTTGTAAAGTGACTAAAAAGCCCCTAGTTAAATGGGTGCAAGTTCTTGTCCAGCTGTGAGCTCTGCCTAGTGTGTGTTTGACCATCGTGGGTCACACATCCTGTTGCACAGGGAGCCTAATTCTTCTGACCTCAAAGGAAATGCTAAAGCCTTCCTTGGAGATGCTGGAAAGAGAGCAACTCTACACAGCCCTGAATTCAGGTAAATCTCTCTGAGCCTGCTGCTCCAAGGCTTCTCATCATACCCAGCTGCTGCATCTCCTAGAAGTTCAAGTGATGGTTCTGTCCCTGTGCAGCGGGGACTGAAAAAGTTTTAATTAAACCTGACTACCTTTGACTTCTCTGCTGATGTGAATCCCCAAATAAACCAGCCCGTGACTTCCCACTGAACTCGTTCCTGTGCGTACTGTATCTCACAGCGCATCCTGTACTGTTAGTTTTGGCTAGTACACTACAGCATGTAATAAATCATGGAAGGAAAAAGCTTTTTGGCCTAGCATGGTTCAGCCTGCTGTAATGTTAGAATACAGAAAGCAGTTCTGTTTTTAGACATCCTTTTACCAACCCAGCATTCGTAATTTATGATTTCACTGTAAAATTCCTGCAACACTACACCAAAAGTCGTGCAGCCCTTTAATTAAGTGCGCTCGGTAGGAAAAACGTGAAACTGATGTGCAAAACATCTCCGTGCACGGTGATTGATAGTGATTACATCTTTATGAACCCAGCCTAAAGGTCTTCACTTCCTGATGAGTGAAGTAGTCTATAGGGCTACTTCCTGAATCTGCCTGGTGGGGATCAGTGACTGCTAACAAAATTGAAGATAATTCGGAGGAGGTACAGTTAGAAATATTGGGTCATAAGCCCTCATCTGTCTAAGCTTGGTCACACGTCTACCTAACTTTATTCTTCGTTTCCATATGAACCTGTGACCAAACTTCGTGCTCTGTCTACACTTAGAGAGCTTGTAATGCAGAGACTGAAAGGCTGGGGACAAGGTCTTTTTAAGGGATCCCACAGTGTCACATGGATTGTTTTTTTTCTTATCTCTCTGGTGAGAGAGAGAGAGGGAAAGTGAGAAATCACCTCCTCTCCCTGTGGGAGATGGCCATGCCACAATTCCTTCTCCTCTACTCTTCTCTCAGGATTTTGAGCACATGCACACACACACATACCCAGTGTGATTTTTCAGGAAGCCACTTCCAGGATTTGAACTGCAGACAACCATGTGGGAATCCAACACCTTAACATGCCACCTGCTGGCCCAGGAAGAGTCGATGACGGGATACATCTGGCCTATGGGTGCATGAATACTACAAGAGAACTTTAAGCTATTTTGTTTTTTTCCAATTACTTTTTAAACATTCATTTCTTTCTCTTAGTCAAAAATAGGAAAATTAATGTTTATTATTTATTTATTTTTAATGCCAGAGGGCACATAAATGAAAGGGAAGGAGACAGCACCCTCCACCAAGGCCTGATCATACTGCAATCCCTTTTCCTCCATTTCTCCATCTGGTGCAGATCCTGGGCCCACTCATTTGAACTTAGTATGCTGCCACCAGGGCCAGGATTTGAACCACAAATCACACATTTGGTTGAGTAAAACCCAGTCTCCTCTGCACAGCATTTATTCTCTGTGCAACAGGGCTGCCCTGAAAGTTTAACTTTATAAAATAGTACCACTAAATGTTAGGAGACTAAAACCTCAAACCAGGGGTTTCCCAGCCCATCACTGCCCCATCAGCCCTCACTCATATCACCTTACTGAAAGGTAAGATGGATAGTTCTTATATCTGAACTGGTTCAGGTTCCTTGAAAGAAAGGTAGCCAATTCATACAAGGGATAATACTGGTATTAAATGAGCTCTTTGGTTTAAGTCCTACTACTTTCAGTCATAACGGTGGTAAAACAAACAAACAAACACTTTGTGCAATCCTGTCATTTAATCATCTTTCCAATGCCTCCCTCCAAGGTGACGTTTTCTGAGCTATGATGATGCTATGTGTGTTATTTTCTGTTGTTTTTTGCAGATTTGGGCCAGGCTTAGTCATCTATTGGTACGGATTTATCCAGGAGCTGGACTGCAACCGGGAGAGGGGCATCCTGCTCAAAGCCTGTTTCCCCACGGACATTGTCACCTTATGCCATAGCGCCGTAGCTTGACCCCGAAGATCCTGGAAGAGATGCTGGGAGGAAAAGGTGAATCCGGAAGCAATTTTACTTTCCTGCCGTGTAAACTCCTGGCAACATCTGCCCTGAACTTCAGCTGAACTCTTGCTGCCGGTGGTCACACCACTACCTTCTAGACAAACATATCAAGAGTTTCTGTTTTCCTTCATCCCTTGCTGATGTGAACAGCCAAGAACCACAGACACAACCCACTCATTATCAGCATTTCTGTCTCTGTCAAACAGTTAGTGTAGAGATAGTCATAATCTTTCTTCCTTCCGGATGGTTTCTCCTTGTATACTGAACAAAAGAAAAAATGTGGAGATTGAAAGGTGTGATTTTTCAATTCTCCGCCCAGTTACCAAATCACCCCCTTATTTCTTTCTAAGCTTTGATTCATTCTCTATCTCTCTGCCTCTTCTCACGCACGCACAGATACCCAGCATTGCCTTCCCGTCACGGGATAATCTCTCACAAGCCCCGAGAAACAAGACATGAAGTCTGAAACTAAAGTTTCGCTCTCACCTACCGGACTCCCAGAGAGCCCACTGGTAGCCTGTTCTGGGTGCGTGTTCCGTCCAGTTGTCACGGTTTCCTGATTTCTGTGGCATTGTGCCAAGCTGCAAAAATACGCTTGATGAGAACTTCCTCTGTTTATAATGCTTATTTGAACACCAAACATTGTACGTTTATCTCATTTAAAAGTATTACTTACATTGTGTCTGGAAACAGCATTCCCTGTGGGGATAGGGGCAGGAGAGGAGGGGACTGAATGAAGTTCAGGGCCAGCATTGAGGAGAGTTTATTTTTAAACAGTATGTAGGTTAACCAGTATTTTTATGAGTATAATTCTTAACAGCACATTCTGTACACAGCTTTGTGTCTGCATTTTATACCACATAATTATATAACACTTAACTTGGACTTTAGAAATATTCAGCTTTGAATAAATTAAGTGTACCAGAAAGAAACCTAGAGCAGTTTTTAAATAAGCAAAATAAAGGAGATTTTGATTTTTTGTTCACTCTAATTTATTCACTTTTGTATACTGCAGACCAGATGTCAATCTAAAGCAAAACATTAGTAAATTAATTATATATCTTTCTTTGGGGGAATTAAAAATGAATCTGTACCCAAAAGTGGATTTAGTAAAATATTTGCCCCCTATGCTGACAAAACCTAACTTTTATAATGTTGAATAGATGATTTTGAAGGCATTAGTAAAAATGCAACTTTTGCAAACACTTTGAAGTTACATACTTTGTGTGGTTCTTCACAAACCTAAATATGTCATTTGTACTCTGTTCATTTTATACCTAAGAAGGTTTGCAAAACTCTACCTACTGCTGCATTTTTCAAAGGACACAAGCATTTCAGGTCCAAGCATGTAGGGATTTTTAACTCCATAGTGGCCACATTGAATCAAGGAAGAGAGGAAAATGATGAAATGATGAAGAAGTGTCAGGCCAACTTCTGTTTCAATGTAAAATTCATCATGCAGCTTTTGTGCCTGAAATAAAAAGACTCGAAAGAACTCTGTCACCTTGATGTACATACATCTATGCACACTTTAAACAAAAATGTTGTTTAAAGCAAGTTTCATGGCATGCTCTAAATGACTTTTTCTTCTTTAGGAATAAATTACATTTATCTACACAGATGTTGAAAATCCTGTTAAACCCTTGTCAAGGATTTGTTTGTTTTACATTAAACAAATTTATGATGAGTGTGCACAAATAAATTAAAAAATAAAAAGGGTGCTTGCATTTTGTATTTATTCTTCTACCTGGTGCCCTGACATAACGTGTTGTGTGGAGGTATTGGTGTTCCCCAGCAAAGACAGCACCTTTTTCTGAATGAGACTGTAAAATTTGGCCCTGAAAAGAGAGAAGGAAACCAGCAGAAAACTACATGCTACAAGGTTACAGGTTATTCAAAAGTAAGCATTTTTTCCACACAAAATTGAATGTGATTACTGTATCTACTGCTTTTGGAATGAAGGGGTGTGGGGGAGAAGGGAGTAATGTTCCCAAGTTGGAAACCTAAAGCCTCCTTAGTCTTGTGTAGTTTTCTTTTTTATGTTAAAAATACTTATCTGTGTTCTGTGGAAATGTGTTGTTTGCTTGTTTGGATTTTTAGTTTAGACACTATAAACATAAGCCTTGGAAAGTAGACATGGGATGACAACTTATTTTTATTGCTGTCGTCATTAGAACGTTCACGTTAAAGCCAAATCTTGTTTTATGGCGCATTCTGCACACTGTGCTAATGAATTATGCCAAGCCAGAAAGCAAGAGTGTGTGTAAAACGTAAAACTAAATGATGTTCTCTCTGGCATATATAGACTTGCCAAGCATCTGCTCTCACAAACACACAGAGGCTCATTTGAAGCGTGGGGAGGGGTCAGCTCAGAGCAAAGCTGATCCAGTATTGCTATTTAGGGTGACTTCATGAACTTTCCCTTACACCCAGTCGTAGCCCACCCCCACTCAAATCCATAAAAAAATTGGGACTCCTTTTCTTCCCCTCCTGCTTTCTAGAGAGGTGTATGTCAGCTCTTCAAAGCACTCCAAAAATCGCATATCAAAGGGGTGGCTCAGGGTCAGCAAGCTGAGCCTCCAGGGGAAATCATTTTCTTTAACCATAGGTGTATGTACCTGCTCATTATCTGCAAGGCTTGAATCCACTCTGGGAAAGATGATAAATTATTGGTCTTTAGGGGGTGCATTAACTCATTCACACCACCAGGGGATTGCTTAGAGCCCTGATGAGGTAATCTACTAAATGGTCCCTGGCGGACCACACTAATTAATGCACAGTGCCCAAGTGAACAGTTAATTCATGGCCTCCCACTAGGGAGCTCCACTCATTGTTCCCTTTCCTCTTTGGAACCAAGGTACCCTAGACGTCTGCTCTTTTAACCTGCTCCCATCTATGACCTGGGGTCCTAGTCGAATTCAATCTTTCCTGCTTGCCTGTGCTTCTTTCTCTTCACTTTCACCTCTTTGGGGCACTTGCCCCTCACCAGCCTTTGCTGGTTTCTTTCCACATGGACATGACCTCCGCATTTTCTCTCTACTCTTTGGCTCTTTTTGTCTTTAGAAAATGATTCCAGGATTGAGATGCTTCCAATCTGAATCCCAATGCATACTTCTGGGGAAGGAGTGCAGAGTGTGGCAATTGGCTAATATTTTAGGGAAAAGCCCCACCTAACTATCCTCCACGTGCCAAAAAATGCAATTGCCTATGTGGCACCTAAAGGATTATAGAACTTTAAGATAAGATTTTACAGGGTTAAATGAAGTATGAAGTTTTTGCCTTACAGTAAGTGTTTTGGCTGAAGGAGCCAAAGAGACATGTAAGGTTTTATAGCTACTTTTGGCTTGTGTGCTGCTGTTTAGCTGATTGAAGTTATGAATTAAAATAGTAAAGCATCTGTGTAATTCAGTTAGAACGTCACCCCGAGCTCATTCATCCTGGGGGCAGCTGGCCATTTTCCATGTGATCTGTTGGGAGCAAGTTGCCTTAGTGTAACTGTTTTGTGACAAGGATGGGAGGAGAAAATCTCCCAATAGGCCCCTTCTTGATTAGGGTTAAAGAACCAAGTAAGTAAGCTTAACTAGGGAGGAAACCACAAGGCAAACAATGGGAGTTGGCCTGCTCTGTCACCATTTATAAAGAAGTGCCCATCTGAACCAGTGTGTTAAAGTCATGTTTAGGTTAAGGAAGGGTCACATGTGACAAAGTTTGGATCATCTGATCACTTTATTCCAAACTAACCCTCCTATCCATAGAACCGTTTGATTAAGAACATGCCTGGATTCCAAAGATTAAGTAAGGACGATGGAATTATGAATTAAATAATAACCAGAACAGCTTGGGTTCCGAACCTCGTGTTTTTCACTTTCCTGCTATTGTTTTGAACATGGCTGTGAGACAAAGAGCTACTTAGGTCAAGCACTATAAATTACAGTTTTCGTACAATGGTAATCCACCAAAATGATTTCAAAGCTTGATCAAAGTACTTCAAAAAGACTTTTAAAACTTTTCCACAATACGAGGGAAGGGGAAATGCTCATTTGATGCCTTAATTTGTTTCAGCCAGTATAGCAAAGTTTGATCTTGGTGTCATACCCACTTTATATAAAATCCAACTCATTGGCTCAATAAATCCAACTTGTTCTTATTGTCATTTCATGCATAAGTGAAAGAGATTTAAGTTTTCATCTAGTTAACTAGAACAACTAAACATTTGGAGTGACTTAGAAGGAAAAGATACATATAGTAACATTTTTAAGTAAGTATAACTTGACAGTATTTAATAGTGATACTCAAGGTATTTAAGACTGTCTAACTCCCTGCACTTAGAATAAAGCGGATCTCAGTGGATTTATTTGGCATTTTAATAATAATCATGGCAACAGATATATTAATGTTCATCCTTTTCCCTCATCACTTGGATTTATCCTGAGCTGTCTCATGTCATGGGCAAGGATGATGGGAAATACCCTAGTGATAGCACAGCTAAGCAAATTCTAGGCTCAGCCATATATAAAGATAGTGTAGGCTGCTGTAGGAATGTCAGACTCAACCAAAGACCCATGGTATTATGTCAGGGTGATCTTTATTTTTTAAAAGGAAGGTCATTTTGAAATCCTGACATGAAATATAACCAAGTCAATTAAGTAATAACAATTGAAGTTCAGAGTTTAATTGAGGGCTGAACATGAAGCCAATGACCATTAACCTAAAGTGGTCATTAATTCCCTTTGAAACTGCCGTGTTTAATAAAAGGTATTTCTAGAATAACTGGCACTTTTTCTCTTAAAAACATGCCTTTTGTCATTTTTACACTCAATACAAATGCATTCAGAAATAGCAATGTAGTGTGTCTGTAGTCGGCTTTTAGTATTTATTCAATTTAAATAATGGTATAGGGCAAATTGAAATTTTAATGCAACTACTTTTCTGCAGGAAATCATTTTTTTTTATGTCAACCGAAAGATTGAAGCACCCTTTGCTTGACTGCTTTGTATTTATTTCAACAGTTAACTTGTATTTTTTCTGATTTTCTTTTTTTTTCCTTTTTCTTTTTTCTTTTCTTTTTTTTCTTTTTTTTTTTTTTTTTTTTTTTGTTATATGGGTACATCATACACTTGCTAGAGAATGACAAAGAGAGGGAGAGAGAAAGAAAGCACCCCCCCTCCCAAAGGAGGATGGCCATG